GTATATGGATATATACTATAGTATATGGATATATACCATAGTATATGGACATATACTATACTGAGCACAATAGCAGAATATTAAGAAATATTAATTTCAGTTATAACTTAAGCTGAAAAATACAAATATATACATGTATATTATATTATTTTTGCATGTTTATATTTAAAATACAAATTATGTATACAATCGAGTATTATGTGCTTTAATAAATATATTGCTAAGTGAAAAAATGCATATTTTATTTATATATTATTATATATTTATATTTCATTAGAATATTTTAATTACTTTTAATTAAAATAATATGATCCTAACCATGCCATTATTTTAAGTTCCCCAGAATGTAACAGCTTACCCAAAATATAAATGAAGAAATTTTAAATTTTAAATTTTGACTTAGTTTGTTTATAAAATTCAAATATATCATGACACGTTCAACAATTTTCAGTCAAAAGCGACTCGGATAATATATTGAAAGTTTTGCTATAAAATAATCAATTTAGATCATATTAAATGCAGTGAATATATGTATGTTTAATAATATATATATATGAAAAAAAAATAAATAAATAAATAAAATCAATTTAAACTCTTTAGATGCTTTTCAATACAAAATGCGATTTCTAAAAATTCATTAGCTTTAGTTAATAGCTCATACTGTCTCTCCATATGCTGATAGTGTTCTATCTCAGTTTTATGCCACTGCTCTCGGCCCTCTCAGCCAAGATCAAGATCATTATGGTGCCCCCTCCGGCCGCCCGTTTAGCCAGTGGGAATCGCATAAAGTTGATTATGTACACACTTGTGTATCTTTGCCATTTGCCACAATCAATTAAGATAAGCAAAGTTACGACTCGGATTGTGGCCATCCATATAATTTAGTGGTGCATAAAAGAGCTGCAATGATGACTGGTTAATGTGGCAGCTACTGTTTCGTTTTTGTTTTATATTGATGCATATACTTGGCCAGACGGCGGACAAGAAGACAGAGAGACGGACGGACGGACAGACGGAGGGACAGACAGGCATCGCCTGAATACACAGCGAAAAAGAGGAGGAATGAAATCAATTGTTGTTGTTGCTGTTGCTGTTGTTGTTGTTGTGGTTGTGGTTGCTCTCATTGTTGTGCTCGGTCGTCTTCGGTGTGTATGTCCGATTGGAATCTTGGCCACAATTTAATGATGGACTGCCAAAAGCACACTTCGACGTCATCATCGACTGCAACAGCAGCAACAACAACAAGAACAACGTCGCCACCGCCACCGCCGCATAATTTTTCATATTTTTATGATTTGTTGCTACCGGGTACTAAACCCGTTTTGTAGAGCGCTAACCATGGAGCTGCTACCGTTGCAGCATTTGCTTTCGATTATCTTAATTTGCGTGCGAAACTGACTTTTTTGTGCCGCAGCCGCAGCAACAGCGGCAGCAGCCGCTCCAGACAGCGACTGCGACGCTAGCTGCGACTGCAGCTGAGGCGTAAGCCAAACCCCAAATTGTGTGTGTACGGAAATTTTCCCATGACTCGGGTTCTGGTATCGACTCCAGCCAGTCGTAGCTTTGGCTTCGGCTATGGCTCTGCACATTTTGCCCGGCGGTGGCTTGGCCAGAAATTACCCAACTTAGCCAGAGCCTGAGCCTCAAATTCAGTCCCAGACTTGAGACTCGAGATTCGAGACTTGAGACTTGAGACTCTCTGGATTGATGGTTGCTCTGGCTGCTGCACTTTACCGGCAGCAGCAGCAGCAACGGCCACATCAGGCAATTAGCACAAGGATGCCGCAGCTAAATAATTTGACGCGCCTCGGGGCAAATTTTTGGTTTAAGGCAGATGCAGCAGCAGCAGCCGCAGCAGCAGCGGCAGCCGCAGCAGCAGCGGCAGCCGCAGCAGCAGCGGCAACCGGAGCAGCAGCAGAGCACCGCCAGAAGGTGGGAGCTTACGGCGCACTTACATATTTGATCTGCATTTCATTGCGAGCAATCTTTGGAGTCGCATCAATTAGCTGCGACGCGCGTCATCAAATATTGGCCAAAGCAATTAGATGGCCCAGAGCCGCAATTGTGGTATACATTACAGATCTGTCGGCTGGTGGAAATGCAGTGCAGTGGAAATGTGGCCAGCACAAGGCAAATAACTTGCGTCGATACCGATTCGGAATGTGTTAATGAAATTAGCAGCATAAAATGTTGCTGCTGCTGTTGCTGCTGTTGGTGTTGCTGCTGCTGCTGCTGCTGGTGCTGCTGCCGCTGATGCTTGCAACGTTACAGATACAAATGTATCTGCGGCCGCTAATTGACAAAATTAACACCAACGGCCCGACCCCACAAATGGGCTTCGACTAGTTTCACCCGGAGAGGAAGCAACCAATGCACTTGGCCAGCAAGCAGCTGCCTCTTCCTTTGTCTTCCTTTGGAAGTGGTTTCATCTTGGCTGTTGGCTGTTGGCTGTTGGCCGTTTGTTGACTGTTGGCAGTTGTTGACTGTGTGGCATGTGTTAAAAAAGCGATTTCTTGGCTTTAATTAGTGTTATTTATTATTTAGAGCATATTGATATAGTTTTCGTTGTTTAACGGTAGTTTGTTTCGGTTTCATGCCGTTCAAGCCATTGTAGAATATAGTATATATACATATATAGTAAATATATATACATTGGCATTCACGTATATTTATAGAAATCCATGAGAGTTTTACTCCAGCTTCATATTTACACATTTTGATTCTGCTTTTTATCTGTGCTGCGCGTGCGAAAGAGTCGCGCGCGCTGTTTAAATAAACACAAATGAAATCTTTCCGGTGAAAATTTGTAAGATCTGTTGAGTTTCGATATGGGAATTCCAAATATTTCACTTGCTAAGTGGCTGCCCTGAATGGCAGCCAAACGACCAGAATCTATAGACTCTGAATGAATAACTCCACTCGCAAGGTTTAATTATCTAGAGAGATTTTGACTTCTATAGAAGTCTTCCTCTATATTTGATGTAGATCTTGATGTTCAGTTTCAATTGATGAAATTCATATTCGATCATTCATTCACTGATGGCCAACTCCCTTCAAGTGAACTATGACTGAGCATTGAGGAATTTACGATCATTTCTATAGAAAACCATGGCAATAGATATAAGTTATTATATTATAAAATAATTATAAATGAAGCTACAATCAGTGTAACACAAGATATCGCAGTTCGAACATTATCTTTGCTGAATTAATTGATTTTTATTTTTAACTGACTTTATTCAGATATTAATCAAATAAACAGATCTGCATTTGTATACAAAATAAAACACTTCCAGTATGACACTTGATTCAATTTGCGTTTAAAAAGACCCAATTATATTGGGTACATGAAACAGTTATAATTGAACATGTTGAAGTATTTGCAATAAGTTTTGTCATTTAATGTATAAATTCTTAAGTTAAAAACTTTTAACAATAATAAACAATAATAAATGGTCCATAGATTATTACCAACTGATGTATTTTTGTTATACGAAAATATATATATATATATATATATTCTTATATATTTGATTATTAATTATTTTAAATGAATTTTTTTAAATAAAATACATAGATATTTTTTATTATTTATTATTTTATATTTTTTGTATGTGTTTCACTATTTATTATTTAATAAATTTATTCATAATTATTTGTATATATTATATAATTTAATATTTCATCAATTTATTTAGAACAATTTTATTATTTATATTTATTTATTTATAATTATTTTTATGTTTCAATTTGTTTTTTTTTTTATGCTATAATTATATTTATTAATATATTTATTTTTTTATTTCTATTTAATATTATAGAATTATACTCTTATAATAATCTCTCGCCACTCGATGATCGCATGATGACAAAACGTTCTAATTTTGTACAATTTTGCCAATGACTTCTGCTTACCAATTGGTCGCCCAGCCGCAGCAGGCAGACACCAGTAACTACACCTATGGCATAAGCAGCAGAGGAGCCAAAAACAAACACCCACAGCTAGCAGCACCCACACACACAGGAGACAGCAAGAGCGAGCCAGAGGAGGCAGCTCTCTGCTGCTGGCTGGCTGCCATGTGGATGGAGCTGGAGGCGGGCGAGGCGGAGCCATCAACAGCATCACACGTGAGTTTTACACATTTCAGAAGCAAACGGGCAGCAGACGCTGCGCCAGCATCCCACTGCGGGAAGGACTAAGCACAGCCTGGACGCCTTGGACCCGGTCCGATTGCCAGGTTCGTAATGTCAATCGCACTGTGCGGGTTTAACTTATGGCAAAACATTTGAAGCACTAATTAATTGGAGCTAAATAAAATGGCACAGCAGCCGCGAAGGAGGCGAACGAGTGAGTCTTTTTTTTCGTCTTTTGCTTGTTTTTATTTTATTTTATTTTCTTGCATTTTTTTTGAGAATTTTTGTGAGAGTTGCAGAACGGCGTTGGCGCTGTTGCTGTTGCTGTAGCTGTTGCTGTTGCTGTTGCTGTTGCTGTTGCTGGTGCTGAATACGCACGGGCTGGCCATGTGGCGACGTCGTCTGCCGGAGCTGAACAGATTACGAGTGCCAGATAAATGTGAACTACAAGTTGCCAATACAAGAGGCCATTAAAACCCGGCAGCAGCACCACCAGCAGCAACAGCAGCCACAGCAGCAGCAACAGTTGCCACTAAAATAAAAATCCCAGCCTTAAAGAAATTGAAAGCAGTGCGAGAAAAAAATCAATGCTTTGCAGTTTCTAGAACACACACACATATATATATCCACACACACACACTCAATTGACAAATATCGAAGCGTGCGAAAACAAATTGAAATTAAAAGTTTGCATGTTGCGCATTTTTGATGCGTTGCTGGCGCTGATTTGTTAGCCCTGAAAGCCAGCCAGATGCCAGTGCGATAAGAGCTCCAGATTGGAGCTGTCCATATACACATACATATACAGCACACACATACATATATATAGGTTCTGGTTCGTGTTTAAAATTGGCGCTAAGACTTACCTTGTAAACATGCCGGCTGCCTGTTGCTGTTGCTGCTGTTGCTGCTGCTGCTGCTGTTGTTGCTGTTGCTGCTGTTGATGTTGCTGCTGCTGCAAGTGTTGTTGCTGCTGTGACAATGGCGTGGGCTCATGTTGCTGAAAGTTATGATGCGTTTGCATATGTTGCTGCATGTGATGTTGCTGGTGTTGCAAGTGTTGCTGCTGGTGTTGCAGCTGCAGCAAATGATGATGCTGCTGTTGTTGTGGCGGTTGTTGCTGCTGCTGCTGCTGCTGCTGTAGGGCATGTGCATGCGTGGGCGTGGCTAAATGTGTGACTGCCACTGCCGCCGCCGCTGCTGCTGCTGCTGCTGCTGCCGCTGCCGCTGCCGACGTCGACAGCGTGGAGCCGGGCTTCTCCAGGCCACGTTTGTCCGCATACATGTCGTGGCTGGCACGTTCGCAAATATTTGTGCAGTTCCTAAAATTGTAGAATGACAGTTCTTATTTTCCTTTTCTTTTACTATTTAATAAACTCGCTCAAAATTTTCCTAATGCCTTGGGCCAATATTGATGACAAGCGCAATATCAAGTCAATAATGTGGGGCCTAATGAAAGTCTGCAGACTTTTTTTCATTGCTAATGAAATGGAACAACAATTGCTGTTTATTGGTACCGGCACGCAGCAGACAATTACACACACACCGACACCCGCACCCACACACACATACATAGACGCATAGATATATTTTGAAATTGGTTCAGTTTTGGCTGGCATTGTTCGAATCGTATCTGAAGAAGAGGAGGGCGAGCCATCTGGAGAATTGATTTGCATTGTTGTGGCTCGATCGACAATTGAGCCGTCGACATTGCTCAGTGGCATTGGGCATTGGGGGAGGGCAGTCAGAGGGCAATTATCTATATGTACACATGCGTATGCTCATATCGGAGCACTCGCCCATCGTCCATATGCTGCTTTGATGACTTGGCAGTTTCACGGATTGCATAAGAAAAATGATTTATGGCTCTGATTCGACTCGGAGTCGAGGTTAATGAAATGCGTTACAAGATTTGTACTAAATACTTAAAGGCTTTCCATCACAGAGATCCCTCTAAGCCTAAATGATATTGACTTTGAAGCCTCACACACATACACACACATGTATATTCATGTATACAATCACATATATAACTCCTCTTTTGGGTCTACTTTGAATTGGATTTAGCATTTCGGACTTGTTATGCTAAATTGTGAGGCCTACACATATCTTAGCACAGATCTATTTGATGACGCACTTAAATTTAAATAATGTTTTGTTTCGCTCAATTTAATGGAAAATTTGTCAGTTTTTATGCCTAAATGCGATACGAATGTGTTATTAATGGCGTTGCGAGAAGCCTGTATAATATATCTTATTGTGAGCAGTAGAACAGTAAACCAGAAAAACACATTAAAAGGCAGTTCAATAAATATAAAACTTAATTATGAAATACTACATGTATTTGTATTCTATTACAATTTTAGTCGTGATAAGCTGAAGAGGGAAGTTGAGGAAGCATTAAGAATAATTTTATGTATTTATTTATTTTATTTTATTAATCAGGACTGCATATTTTAATACTTGGCCACATTTTTGAGCCAATTTGTTTTTTTACTCAAAACTTTATTTTTTAGTTATCAATTAACAACGTTTGTTTATTGCTTTGGCATTGGGATCCATTTTTTGATTTGTTTATAATATTTATTAAAAATATATTTTTAAATTATATACAAATATTTATTTATTTACATTATTGATTTATTTTTTCGTTTTATATTTTATTTTATTTTTTTATTTTATTTGTTTAACAATGATAAGCCGCTTTCAATTTAAACTATATTATACCTAATTTTCATATATATATATATATATTTGATCTGCGATCTTTCATATCCAGCAAGCATTCAGTGCATAGCAATTATAAATCTAAATATATATTGAATTTAATTTAAATTTCAATAAAAGATTTTATACTACCCAACAGAAGTAGAGTTATATGGAAGATATTAAGGCTATTCTTGTATCCTTGCTGAGAGTGGTACCTAAAACATTATAGTGATCAGACCATATAGGGATCAGACCATACATATCCCAAGGTATATTTCTGTATGGGAATGTCAAGGAATAATAAAATTATATAACATTTGGTCATCTATAAAATCTTTTCTTATTCATCATCTACTTCGTTTCTCTTCTATCAAATTTCATATTTTCCTACACATCAGAGCCCATACCTTCACTACTATCACTTTCCGTGGCATTACGCATGTGAAAAAATGCTGGATGGCCCTTTAGGTGGCGCCAAGAAGAAATCTCGATATGCTCGTCTATTCAAATATTCTTTAAAATGCAACAATTGAAATTAGTTTTGTAAATGAATTTCAATGTTGTGCTTCAATATTCACTACCGACTGCGGCCAGCCTCTCCTTCTTCTTCTTCACATTCTGCCTCTGATCATGTGTGAGTGTGTTTGGATTTTTGGGGCCCGGCTTTGCTTTAGACATGGCTTTGGTTGGCCTGGCTTAGTTGCAACTCATTGTCAAGTGAACTTATCAGAGTTGAAAAAAAAATTTGTTCGAGTTGACGTTTGGAGTGCCATCGAGTCGGTGCTTGATTTGTTTGGAGTTGTTTGAATAGGGACCACCAAAAAGTCATTGAATGAAATGAAGAACGCCGAGATACGTCAGTCTGCATATATGTATCCATATGTGTGTGTGTGTGTGCGTGTGTGTGTTGACTTTTGTTGTGGCTACATTTGCTCTGTGATTGTGCGCAACTGTTGACTGGCTTTTTAAGTATTTTGTTATTTGATTTCTATCAAAGTTAATAATGAAATTGGTAAATCGCGTTTTCGATTTTTCGTTTTCCTATATATTTATATATATGTATAAATACATGCGTACGGGTGCGGGTGTCGGTGCGAGCTTTAGCTGAGACCTTGGGCTCTTACCTTTTCTCGAAAGATTTAATTTGCGATATCCATTGGGTAGAGCAGCAGAGGACACAGCATATAGCGTTAGCTTTTTTATTGTTTCAATGTATTTGCTGAACGCTTTTGTTGGGTTTTCGTTTGCTTTTATTTTTTTCGTTTTATTGCATAAATTATTATTTGATAAATCTTTTGATTTGAATTTTCGTTTTGCACAATGTTTGGCACTTGAGCGAACTTGCTGTTGCTACATTCAACAATTTACATTTCAATTACAATTGAAATTTTATGCATAAAGATCTCAGCTTTTAAATGTTTTTCTTTCTTCTTCTTTTCGTTTGCACAATAAACTATGTATTTAATTTGTAATTCTTTATTTATAATTTATTTATTTTCTGTTGTTTTGAAGTATTTCAGAGATTGCATATTCATGGGCTTTGATTGAATCTGTGGCCCGACAAGATTTATGGGGTTTCTCTGAAGCGGCAAGCCCTACAGAATTATTCGCAAATCTTGGGCCACATCACTTTTTGAACTTTGTCACTTGAGCTATGAAATAGCCAACGATAGGCCGATAGCTCCGACCGACGCGCCGATAACGATTGCGATGACGACGATAACTGTGAACTTCCGACGGCTTTGAATCGTTACTGTTATTGTGCCTTACTGGCTATAGAAAATCCGATCAGCCTGGCTTACAAAACGCTGCTCTGTGGGGACAACCGTGTAGAATGCGCGCGAGCACCTTTCTGTGCGGATCACCGAAGCGACACAGAAGCAACAAACTTGATTTCGAAACAGGTAAGGTAGCTTTCGTTCAGTTTCAGCTCAAGAGCTCGCACACAAGTGCAGCCAGCGCTCAATGCGTTTGTATTGGTGCGGCTCACCCAATGCGATCAGCGATCGTGCACTGAGCGGAATGGGGAAGTGACACTGAAAGGTGAATACAAGACAAGACAGGGTTTAAGAATATTGATCTGAGAGTAAGGAAAAAAAACTGATGGAAGAGGGAACGATATGAAGAAAAATGACTATGAAAACACCGAAATAAATTTATATGTACGATATTATAAACTAAAGGAAAAAGAAAGTTTATAAAAACTCTAAAGTCTATTGATTTATTTATTTATTATTTTTAAATTTATCAATGAACAAAATCTACAAGAATAGAATTACAGATGCGCGAATATACTTTATTTATTTTTATATGTAAACATATATCTATATGTAAAAATTATTATTATTTGTCTATGTAAAATAAAATGCAGTTCAGATAAAACACATAAATTTCATAAATTATCAAAATTATTCTGATCTTACTATTTCCATTCATTCCGAATCTCCATCTTGTAGCTCCACTTTTTATAGCAGTGTAACCATCTGATCTGGCTCAGGTAGTCAGCGGCACACACACACAGCCAACTGACCAATACAGAGAGAGCGCATGTCATTTGATGACGCCCCTTTTTACACCTACACTCACACACACACACACACACACACACAGACACACGTGCTTAAATGAATCTATGTGTTTTTCGGTGTATTTGTTGCCGGCTCTCGTAACTCATTAGCTGGTAATCTATTCAAATTAGCCATAAATCAATTAAGTTTGCATATCCAAGCCCGCTGACTGCTGTAAGCCCGAAATATTTACATGTTGTATTTGCTTGGGTGAATTGATTGATCAAATCGCCGATTAGTTATACTATATATGAATAATTCCCTTTTATTTTATTTGCATTCCCGTGCTAACCAATACATGAGCCGCAGCTTTCAGATGAGTTGGCAACTCTGTGCAGACACAGCGCTTGGCTGTGCTTGTGTGTGTGTGTGTGCGTGAGTGTTGTTGCTGTGCTGCGATTCGCTGATTGGTCAGCGCTCGTTAAGCTCCGTTAAGAGAGAGAAGAAAAAAACTATTTACAGTTTCGTTGTTTTGCTTTTGCTTTTGATTTCGCTTTCCTCCACAATAGACAGCCGACTTATGCGAGAGCCAATGGGACAGCGCAGCTGCTGCGTGCGTGTGAATGTGCGCGTTTGTGAGTGTGTGTGTGTGTGCGCGCGTGTGAGGTATTTTCGTATTAATGCGGGCTTTTAATTGCGCCTAATTAGCCAATTAAAATGGCGCTGGAAGGCGCAAGCCGGGCTTGCAGTATATCAATACGTAATGTGCTATAAATCAATAGTAGAGGCAGACAGGTGTAGGATAAGATATCTATTAATAAAAAATACGTATATATTTATGCAAAAAAAAAATATTTTAAATTGATTAGAGAATAGTTTTAATTGGGGTTTCAATAGTCCTAAAATTATATTATAGTAAAGAATTATTTGTATTAAATAATGTATAATACTAAAT